TTATAGGCTGGACAGGAGGCAGGTCGCCGGCGGGGGCCGGGGGGGTGTATGTCTATGTCACCTCACCGTCCCCTTCCCGTCCGCCTCCTCGGTATCTTGCACCAGCAACCGGGCAGGCAGGCAGGCAGGGGCAGCCCAACTAGACATGATCGAGCAGCAACTTGGTGCTAGCTAGGCTAGGCTAGATTAGCTAGCCGCAGCCGCAGCTGCAGTACGTCCGGTCCGGCCCCCAGGCGATATTTTCTCCCGATGGCTGGGGATGTCAATGTGTGGCCGCGCTTGCTTGCTTACATCGGCATCGGCATCACTGCATCACCATGTGGCCATTGCGCATCTATCGCTGTTTGTGGCTGTGGTGCGGTTGCTGTCTGTCTCTCGAGCAGCATCGCATCCAACGGTTCTCTCTGGTAGCCGGACACCTGTTGCCGCCTGGTTCGTCACTCCCACTCGGACCCAGGTGAGTGAACCCTGTCCTAATTTGGGAACATGAGGCTGGCCCTCTTATGGAAACAACAACAAGAAGAACAAATAAATTATTAGGTAGTGAGGGAGTGGGCAGGGGTCAACGAGGTCGGCATGGTGATATATGCTGGGTCCCTCCCAAGGTGCAACGTATGCTACACCTCGTCTGAATATAAGAAAACAATTCTTCAGGTTCACTAAACATAGTGTTGGAAATATGAGCAAATTACTACGAGATTTAATCCAAATAAATAGAAGATAAATCATGACCACAGCAGTAGAGATTAAACTGATCATGCGAACTAGCATAGCAGATGAACATATCACATCTAGGGCATATACTAGAAACATGAATTCTATCATGATCTCGAACAGGAAGGATAGAATCACATACGGTGCAGCGGGTGCAGCACCGCCGACGTTGATGTTGTCGCCCATGTCGTCGAGGATGAGGTTGCCGAGGGCGGGGAAGAAGTCGTCGTTCGCGAAGTCGTCGCTGCCAGCAGTCGCGCGAGTGCGCTCCCCAAAAACCTGATCGCCCCTCTCCCGTACAGGATCACGAGAGGCGGGGTTCCGGAGGCCTGCTGTCCCTTCTCGCGGTGCACGCCGGAAGGAGGGATGGAGAAGGCTTGCTTGGCGGCGCAATGATCTGGAATGGTGGTGAGAAATCATACGAAGCGGCGGCGGCTAGGGTAGACGTCTGCCTGACTATATAGTGCGGGCCGGGTAGGTCGTGGGAGTAAACCCCATGTCCGAGTCGTCATGATCCAAAAGAATCAGAAATGATTTCAGTAATTAACGCGTCCGTTAATTATTAATTAATGGCTCATTAATTTTCCCATGCAGCAAAAATATAGACAACGTGCATAGCTCTGTCCTCGGCTCGGCTCAATCCCGCAACCCGCGGCGCGTCGTGACGAGGCGTGGCGTGGCGTGGCGAGGCGAGCGAGGAGGAGGAGCGCGCGTGTAGGTCTCCTCTTCTCATGCTCATACAAGTGGTACCAGAGCTCACCTTATAAAGAGGTGCAACTCTCTCTCAACTTCCGGGGTGAGACTAAACTTTAGCCTCACTCACTCCACTCACATGTGTGCATGAATGGGCCAAGAGAATTTCAAAATTTTAGTTGGGCTTTGGGCCAAAGGCCTACTAGCAAAATTCCAACAATCCCCCACAAAGTCTCATTGGCACATCTCATCATTTAGTTCCAAAACATTGTTTTATATATCGGTGCTTAGTGGAGACTGTGAAGTTGAACTTCCACTTAGAAATTTATGCTACACTAGATCACAACTTGAATAGTGGACTATGCCTTGAACTACAAGTTTTCTGTGAAACTAGTTTCACACAAATTCTTGACCGATACTGGGCTGCCGCAAGGCTTCCCCGCGGGTGGAGCGTATACGTCATACTCCAGAGCCTTTCATGAATTTATTAGAGAACACCCAATTCTCACAGACTGCGATGTTAACAGTCAAATTCATATAGGTGTGTTCCTCAGAAGATATTCTGCAGGACAACATCTCTGCTTACCCGAATAAGCCACTTGGAACACATTAAGATAAGTATCAACCTGCCATGCAGATCAGGAGAGTATTGCATCTTCACGGAGTGGGATAATTAATATAGGGATACTCTCCTCCCAGCTGACCAACAGCTTGTCTCCCACTTCTACTTCACGAGATCTCCGATCACATAGAGTGGGTTACCACTATGGACAACTCATGCGGTGGGTCTCAAACCCATCTCCATCGATGCATTATCTATCACATTACGTGATAGACCCTTTGTGAAGGGATCTGCCAAGTTTTTCGACGTTTGGATATAATCCAACGTAATAACTCCGGAGTTTCTCAATTTTCTGACAGATTTTAGTCTCCTCTTCACATGCCTTGAGGACTTCATATTGTCCTTAGAACTGTTTATCTTGACGATCACAGTTTGATTATCACAGTTCATCAGGATAGGGGGTATTGGTTTTTCAACCATAGGTAAGTCCATCAAGAGTTCACGAAGCCACTCTACTTCAACAGTGGCAGTGTCTAATGCTGTGAGTTCTGCTTCCATAGTTGACCTCGTTAAGATGGTCTGCTTGCAAGACTTCCAGGAAACAGCGCCACCACCAAGTGTAAAAACATAACCACTTGTGGCCTTAATCTCATCAGCACCAGATATCCAGTTTGAGTCACTATAACCCTGCAGTACCCTTGGATACCCGGTGTAGTGAATCCCATAGCTCGCGGTGCCTTTCAAATAGCGCATAACTCTCTCAAGCACATGCCAATGATCATCTCCCGGTTTTGACACAAACCGACTCAGCTTGCTCACAGCAAAAGAGATGTCAGGCCTCGTGGCAGTCGCCAAATACATAAGTGAGCCAATAATCTGAGAATACCTCAGTTGATCTCTAGCAATCCGTCGATTCTTTCGAAGCAATACACTAGCATCATATGGAGTTGGAGAAGGCGTGCAGTCACTATACCCAAAACGACTCAAGACCTTTTCCACATAATGAGACTGAAGCAGTGTGATCCCACCATTCTCATCTCTCAAAGCTTGATGTTTAAGATAACATCAGCTACTCCTAGATCCTTCATCTCAAAACAGTGAGATAAGAAATCCTTAACCTCCTTGATTAAATCAAGTTTGGTTCCAAAGATCAATATGTCGTCGACATACAGACAAAGAATAACTCCTTCGCCCCCACCATAGCGATAGTACACACACTTGTCACCATCGTTTACTACAAAGCCGGCATCAGTTAATGTTCTTTCGAACTTCTCATGCCACTCCTTAGGAGCTTGTTTAAGGCCATATAAAGACTTTAATAACTTGCACACCTTTCCTTCCTGACCAGGTACTACAAAACCATCTGGCTGATCCATGTAAATTTCCTCCTTCAACTCTCCATTGAGAAAAGCCGTCTTAACGTCCATTTAATGAACGAGAAGACCATGTGAGGCAGCCAGTGATAGTAGCACCCGAATTGTGGTCAGTCTAGCCACGGGTGAGTAAGTATCAAAGAAGTCTTCACCTTCTTTCTGGGTATAACCCTTGGCCACAAGCCGTGCCTTGTACTTTTCAATCGTACCATCAGGTCTAAGCTTCTTCTTGAACACCCACTTACATCCTACAGGTTTGCACCCATAAGGACGGTCAGTGATCTCCCAGGTACCGTTAGCTAAGATGGAATCCATCTCGCTACGTACAGCTTCCTTCCAGTAGTCAGCATCAGGAGATGCATAGGCTTCTGAAATAGTCCTGGGTGTGTCATCCACGAGGTACACAATGAAATCATCACCAAAACACTTTGCAGTCCTCTGTCTCTTACTCCTCACAGGAGTTCCATTGTTACCCTCAACAGGATTCTCAACGTGTTCCATCGCAATGGTGGGTTCAGGAATTACAGTGAATTTCTCACTAGATGGAGTAGGTATCTCATGATTTGATGAACTCGACATATCCTTCATAGGAAATATGTCCTCAAAGAAAGTTGCATCATTTGATTCCATAATCGTACCAACATGCATGTCGGATACCTCAGATTTTATTATCAAAAATCTATAGCCGATGCTATGAAAAGCATAGCCCAGGAGAACACAATCCACGGTTTTTGGTCCAAGCTTGTGGTTCTTGGGAATTGGTATATTGACTTTCGCCAAACAACCCCAAGTACGTAGGTAAGAGAGTTTCAACCTTTTCCTTTCCCCATTCCTCAAATGGAGTCATGGTCTTATGCTTTGTGGGAACTCGGTTTAGGACATGACACGCAGTCATTAGCGCCTCCCCTCACCATTCCTTGGATAGACCCGAAGTGTCTAACATGGTGTTAACCATATCAGTTAGAGTTTGATTCTTTCTTTTGGCTACCCCATTTGACTGGGGTGAGTAGGGAGGCATCCTCTCATGAATTATACCATGTTCCGCATAAAACAGATCAAATTCATTGGAAAAATACTCTCCACCATGATCGGACCTAAGCCGTTTAATTTTTCGATCAAGTTGGTTCTCTGCCTCAGCTTTATAGTTTTTAAAGAAAGTCAAAGCCTCATCTTTTGATTTCAGAAGATCATCAATCAATGTCATGAAGTATCTCTTTCCACCTTTTGTCAACACGCCATTCATCTCACAAAGATCAGAATGTATAAGCTCTAGTGGCGCCAAGTCTCTTGCCTCTGCAGTCTTATGGGACTTGCGAGGTTGCTTAGCTTGCACACATACTTGGCACTTG